AAATACTTCAGGATCTGCAGAGCAAACAGCTTCCCTAGATGTTTCCTTTTTTTGTTTATTTGGGGCTATGTCAGTTTACATTAAACCCCAATAAAATACAACATTCAATGTCTCAGTGGCACAAGCCTCCTCTCATGCTCAGTCACCCCCTGTGGCGGGCGGCTCCTGTGTCGGACAGTGTGGATCTAGAACCTTCTCACCATTGCACACAGTTCTAGAGGGATGTTGTCCAACACGGGAGCTACCAGCCACGTGTGGTTGTTTACATTTAAAAACATATATATATATATATATATATATATATATATATATATATATATATTTTTTTTTTTTTTTTTTTTATTGATTTCAGAGAGGAAGAGAGAGAGAAACATCAAGGATGAGAAAGAATCATGGATCCGCTGCCTCCTGTATGCCCCCTACTGGGGGTGAAGCCCACAGCCTGGGCATGTGCCCTGACTGGGAATTGAACCGTGACCTCCTGCTTCCTAGGTCAATGCTTAACTACTGAGCCACGCCAGCCGGGCTTACGTTTAAATTCTGTTGGCCTCTAACATCCAGTGTGAGCCAGTGTGGCTTTCTTTTCTTTTCTTCCTTTTAAAAGTATATTTTATTGATTTTTTTTTTTTTTTTACAGAGAGGAAGGGAGAGGGATAGAGAGCTAGAAACATCGATGAGAGAGAAACATTGACCAGCTGCCTCCGGTACTCCCCCACCGGGGATGTGCCCGCAACCAATGTACATGCCCTTGACCGGAATCGAACCTGGGACCCCTCAGTTCGCAGACCGACGCTCTTTCCACTGAGCCAAACCGGTTTTGGCTGGCTCCAGGGGAGAGGTGGGCTGTGCCGCCAAGTCCATGAACCCACAGAGGCAGGCGACCAGGGAGTGAGAGCCGGCACCCAGGACACTAGCCTCGGGCGTCCCTCCATGTGCTGAGGTAAGGAGAAGCTATACGCAGAGGGTAATGTTTTAGCTGCAAAAATAATGCTTCCCAGCTCCCTGGCCAGGAATGTGGTCCCCGTCGGTGGTTATGAGTGTGAGTTATTCCAGCTCCCAGTGGCTTAAACAAGGAAGGAGGGCTTGTTGGCGCTCATAACTGAGAGGGTGGAATGGGCTGCCTTCAGATAGGACCGAATCCGGGCCTCAAAGAGCAAGCTCCAGAGCCTGCCTCCCTGAGGCCTCCGCAGCGCTGGCTTTCCTCCGAGGGGCTTCCTGAGCCCCCGCAGGTGTAAGCACCAGCCTCACTGCTTCAGGGACGTCCTGGGGGGACAGCACATCCCAGCCCACCAGGCAGAACAGCGCCCCCCGCTGGCGGGGACTCCACTCCCTTTACTGCTGCATCTTTCAAAACCCGGAGAGCTCCAGCCCCGCTAGAGATGGGCCTAAGCCCTGGGCTTGACCCTCCTGTGGCCAGACATCCAGATGCTCATCGTCCCTCCCCTGCCGAGCGCCTGGCATCCTGAGCAGTTTGGTGTATGTGTGTGTGTGTGTGTGTGTGTGTGTGTGTGTGTGTGTGTTTAATTTTTTGGTGTTTCTTCTTCCTTCCTTTATTTATTTACTTTCACATATTTTATTGATTTTTTACAGAGAGGAAGGGAGAGGGATAGAGCGTTAGAAACATCAATGAGAGAGACACATCAATCAGCTGCCTCCTGCACACCTCCTACGGGGGATGTGCCCACAGCCAAGATACATGCCCTTGACTGGAATTGAACCTGGGATCCTTGGGTCCGCAGGTTGACACTCTATCCACTGAGCCAAACCAGTTAGGGCGCTGAGCTGTTTAAAAAAAAAAAAATTAAAAAAAAAAATATATATATTTTATTGATTTCAGAGAGGAAGGGAGAGGGAGAGAGATAGAAACATCAATGATGAGAAGGAATCATTGATTGGCTGCTTCCTGCACGCCCCCCACAGGGAATGGAGCCAAACCTGGGTATGTGTGCCCTTGACCGGATTTGGGTGTCCACAGGCCGACGCTCTATCCATTGAGCCAAACCGGCCAGGGCTCCTGAGCGGTTTTGACGTGCCTCTTCTCTCTCCACATCCTAGCTGATTCACGCACTGATTCACGCTCAGACCTTGTCCTGAGCCCCTCCCTGTCTCCAAGCTCCACGCAGTGCTGTCAGAAGGCAAAGCTTACCTAAACGCACCCCTCAGCTCCTTGCAGACCCCAGGCCCTCCCCGCCCCCACCATTGTGCCACTCCTTTTGGGACCCTGATTTAAGCTCCAGCCTCCACTTCCTTCCCAAGAACTCACTACTATCCTCCGCCCCCCTCCCCCAAGTCCCTAACCCTCCCTCCCCTCCCCCCCCCCCCCCCCCCCCCGGGGCTGCCCTTTCTCTTAGTGATCTCCACACCCTCACCTCCCTGCCGCCTCCACCCCTCCCCCCCCTGCAATCTGGCTGTGGCCTGACTCACCCAGATCACCTGGGGCCCTGCAGCCATGTCCAGCTTCACCACTGACCTGTGAGCGGGGCCAGGTTAAGCACTGCCTGCGCACCTGTGTGGTCTCCGTGTCTGCCAGAACAAATTACCACCAAGTGGGCAGCTTAAAACAATTGGCATTTTTTCTCACAAGGTACCGGAGGCCAGAAGCCCAGAATCAAGAAGTGGCCAGGCCGTGCTCCCTCCCAAGGCCCAGGGGAGGGTCCTTCCTGCCTCTTCTGGCTTCTGAGGGATGGAGGCTTCCCTGGGCCTGTGACCTCATCACCCCAGTCTCTGCCATCCTGTCATCGGCACCGTGTCCGGGTTAGAAATCTCCCTCTGCATGTCTGTCTCTCCTCTTCCGCCCCTTACAAGGATACTCGTCATTGGATCTAGGGCCACCCCAATCCAGAATGAGCTCATCTCAAGAAGCTTCATTATATATCTACAAGGACCCTTTTCCCAAATAAGGTCCCAGTTACAGGTTGTGGGGGATAAATCTTTTTTTTAATTTGTATTTTTTCATTGATTTTAGAGAGGAAGGGAAAGGGAGAGAGATAGAAACATTGATAAGAAAGAACCACTGATCAGCTGCCTCCAGCATGCCCTCCACTGGGGGTCAGGCCCCCAACCTGGGTATGTGCCCTTGCCCAGAATTGAACCTGGGACCTTTCAGTCCATAGGCCGACGCTCTGTCCACTGAGGCAAACCAGCTAGGGCTGGGGGATAAATCTTAACGGCCATGATCCCAACCCACTTGACCCCCGAGCCTCACCGAAGCTGGGAGTGTGGACGTGGGACCACCTTGCTTTACAGAGTGGGAAACCCCACGGGCTGGGCTGGGCCCCGCATGTCCCACATTTCCCTGCTGTCCCAATCGGGATGCGGGACAAATTGTTAAAAATCGGGACTGTCCTGCCAAAAGCGGGACGTCAGGTCACCTTACCCAAGCCCCTTGTCCCCTTGGGAGACCTCCAGTGGGCCATCCCCAGACCTCTCACTGCCCACTCCGCAGGCCAGCAGCCAGGGCAGACCTTGTCCTGAGCCCCTCCGTCTCCAAGCTCCACACCCACCCTTCCTCCACTCCAGAGCGTCCTTCCTTTGGGACTCCGGTGGTGCCCAACTACTGAGGGTCCCCCCCAGGCCTCACCTCCATGCCAACTGGCCCCAGAACTGTGTCTGGTGGCCCAGTGGGCCAGGTCCCAGCTAGACCTACGGTGAGAGGGGGACACCTGTGGCTCATCACTCAGCCATCCTTTGGGGATGGGAGGGATGAGGACCCAGGAGGCAGACTCCCAGACCTCAGTATCCCTATCTGCACAGTGACAGGTAGATCCTGTCTAGTGGAGACTGGGGACCCCCCTCCCACACCAGAGCTGGCGAGGTGCCCCAAGGAGGCAGCCTGCCACTGCCACTTCCACATGGGCCATAACTGACCCCATGGCTGGCCAGCGCCAGGGATGTGGAGGACCCATCTCAGGAAAGGGGGGCCCGGCAGGACCCACAGACCTCAGGTTCTCATCTGGAACGGGGCACAGAGCCTAGCTTGCAGTAGAACCTGGAATGGGAGGACCCCAAATCCCTTTATCTGGAAGATGGAAGGCAAGGAGCTGGGTCCGAGGGTCCCTCCCACAACCCCACCTCTCCACGCCCGCCGGCCCCACACCACGCCAAGGGCTCGCACGTCATAAAAAGACTTTATTAAGAAGGCTTTGGAGTCAAAAAATAAAACTCTTGATACAATTTTCTGAACCCTTAAGTCAGCTCAGCAAATATATAATCAGTAATTTAGCTGCGTAAGATTAAAGGTCCGTTACTTTAAAATAAAATATATTTTAGTTCTTAAAATTTATTCCATAAAGTACATACATATTTCCCTATAAATTTGCTACATATACACAAGAGGTAAAAAGTAAAAGTAAAAATAAAAAATAAAACAATTAAAAAAATTTAAAAAACGGACAACATAAAACCACAGCAGAAGAGGATTAATAATTAAAAATAAAAAAGTTAGAAATTTCTGGTTGGGACGCCCCTGTGCCCCTCCCCCCTCCCCCCCTCCGGCCTTCCTGGGGCTGACCTACAAAAGGGTGACCAGTTAGCCCCAAAAAGGGAGTGAAAAGGTAGTAAAAACGTCACCGCCCTCCTGGTGGAACTTTCTGCAGAGGCTTTACCACCCCGTGAAAACAACACTGTCACGTCAGAAATCCACTTCATAGAAAAGAAGGGCAACTGATGGCTGTAAAAAAAATTTTTTTTCTTTAAAAAGATCACCCTGGAGGGTGTAGGTGTGTGTGTGTGTGTCTCAAATAAAAAGTGCAACAGACCTTTTCTCTCTGGTTTATTTTAACCTGTCAACTCAATACTGTTATTTGTTAAGAACTGAGGTGCCACTGGGCTGCCGGGTCACTGTCTCCATGCCTGGGACTGGAGTTAAAGCTCATCTGTAAACACTGGCCACGCTCACCCCTGCCCCGCCCCGGCCTGCCCCTCCACCCTGCCCTCCTCTTCCTCCCCCACCTGCCCGGGGCACAGGGGCCCGGAGCCAGGAGCCAGGGGCCCAGGCGGCGTTAGGAAAAGATATGAATGGCCTGGGTGGCGGGCGTGCGGCAGGCGGGGCACTCGGGCTCGCTCTTGCCGCAGATGCGCACGGCGCAGTCCATGCAGAAGAGGTTGTGGCCGCAGGGCACCAGCGCGGCCATCACCTCGCCCTCCGCGCACACCACGCACTCGCGCACCAGGGCGGGGCCGGGCGCGGCGGGGGCGGGGGCAGCGGGCACGCCGGGCGCGGGGGCTGCTGTGGCTGCTGCGGGCTTGCGGCCGCCGTCGGAGGCGCTGGAGTCCAGGGCGGCGCAGGCGGCGGTGGCGGCAGCGGCGGAGGAGCTGCCGGGCAGCGAGGAGGCGGCGGAGAAGCTGCCGCCGCCGCCGCCACCGGAGAAAGGCGCCAGGGCGGCCGGCGGGGGCCGCCAGGGCAGCGCGCCCACCGGGTCGGGGGGCCCGCGGCGGGCCAGCGGCAGCTCCAGGCCCAGGCCGCCGGGCTCGGGCAGCGTGGGCGAGTGGCGCGGGGTGCCAGCCCCGCTGCTGCGGCGCGCCCCGGGGGCCGGCGCTGCGGGCGCCCCGTTCACGAAGGCGGGCACCGGGGCGGCGCGCTCGAAGGGAGCCCAGATGGTGGCGGCCGCGGGCACCGTCAGGTCCAGCGCCAGGAAGTCGAAGCCGAAGTCGCAGTCCTCGGGCGCAGGGGGCCCGGGCGGGGCTCCGGGGCCGTCCCCGCCGAAGGTGAAGCCGCCGTTACTGCCGGAGCCGCCGTAGGGGCTGGCGGGGCCCGGGTCCGGCACCGGCGCGCCCCCGCGGCTGCCGGGGTAGAAGGCGGCCTCGGGGCCCCCGGGAGCGCCCAGGGCGCCGTCCCCGCGGAGGCTGGCGGCGGGCAGCGCGGGCCGGCGCGCGGGGTTGGGCGCCTTGGCCCAGAGGCCGGCGGCGGCGCCCAGCAGGTCCAGGCACACGTCCGTGCCGTTGGCGTGGAAGTCGCTGTCGGGCCCCGCGTCCGTGAAGGCGCCGGTGCGCAGCGTGATGTGCGCCTCGATCTCCTCGCGCGCGCGGTCCACGTTCTCGGGCATCCCCGTGACGGCGAACACCGGCTCCTTGTCGCGCCCCGGCGTCACGATGTACGTGTGCGTCCGCTGCTGGATGCGCTTGATGGTGGCGCCCTTGGGCCCCACCACCAGCCCCACCACGCGGTAGGGCACGCGCACCTGGATGGTGGTCTGGCCCGGCAGGTTGGGCGGGCCCTGCGCGGAGCCCGGCAGCCCGCCCGCCTTGCTGCGCGTGGCGCGGATCACCGAGAAGTGCTCCGCCGCCGACAGGATCTCCCGCTTGGCCATCTCCACGTCCTCCTGGCGGCCCGTGACGATGAAGACCGGCTCCTCCCCGCGCACCGGCGTCTTGATGTACGTGTTGGTCTTGGCTCGCAGGGCCTTGATCTTGCACCCTGGGTTGGGGGGGAGGGGGGAGAGGAGGGGGACATGGTGAGGACTGGGACCCCTGCCCAGGTCAGTAGGGGTCAGGCCAGCTGGGAGCCTCCATTTGTGGGCTGTACCCCTGTGGCATTTTGTAATCTCAGACAGACCGCATCCTACCCTTTGACCTGGGGCCTTAGTTTCCCCTCTGGTCATGCGGGAGGGGCACCAGGGGCCCCGAGGACGAAGGCCAGCACAGGTGCAGCGCGCTGGGTGCCCCTGGGGTTGGCAAAGAAGCAAGGAGGCAAGGACTCTGCTGTGGGTTGGATGGCGCCCCCTAAATTTCACGCCCATCCAGAACATCGGATTGGGCTCCTCCTTAGAAACAGGGCACCTACAGGTGTAACGAGCTGGGATGAGGCCACAGGAGGGCAGAGGGGCCCTGAATGCAGAGGGACACACAGACCAGCCGTGCGACAAGGCGGGAGCGCAGTGAGGTGGCTACAAGCCAAGGGACACCGAGCGCCGCTGGCAGCCACGGGAGGCTGGGGGGGCGCGTGGGACAGAGTGTCCCCCGGAGCCTCTGGAGGGCGCACTCCCTGCCAACACCTCGATTTCAGATTTCCAGCCTCCGGAACGGACAGAATTTCTATTGTTGCAAGCCATTCACTTGATTATGTCAGCCCTAGGACAGGAACACAGATTCTCTGGCATCAACCCCCTCTGTGACAGGTGTGGAGACCGAGGCGCAAATTGTGTAAGCTGCCCACAATCTTCTGACCAAGTGACCCTTCCAGCCCAGTGTAGGTGAGGTGAGGTCTCAGCCCCATGCAGACTCCTGGGCAGGCCTGCACTCAGGACACCTTCAAAGGTCCTCCTGGCCCTGGCCTCTGAGTGATGCTCAGGGACTCTTGGGAACATGACACTGGGGCTACATCCTGCCAGGGCTGGGGGTCCCACCCTGTGGAGGGGCAGGGCCAGTTGTTCAGGGTCTGACAGTGGTGCCTGCCCAGGTCCCTGATACCCACCCCTCCAAGGCCTTCTGAGGCATCTTGAGTCCAGGCCAAGGACTCTGGAAGACCCCCCCCCCCTCAGGGGAGGCTAGAGGGACACAGTGATATTGTATCAACACAGAGGTGGCATTGAGAGAAACAGTGTTGCTAACTTCCTAACAGTGAAAGACAAAAATTAGCAGAATCATGCCCTGGCCCATGTTTCTAAGTCAGTGGTCGGCAAACTCATTAGTCAGCAGAGCCAGATATCAACAGTATAACGATATTTGAAATTTCTTTTGAGAGCCAAATTTTTTCAACTTCTTTTAACACCACTTCTTCAAAATAGACTCGCCCAGGCCATGATATTTTGTTGGAAGAGCCACATTCAAGGGCCAAAGAGCCGCATGTGGCCGACCACGGTTCTAAGTGGTTAGAGCAGTCGACCAACACACCAAACGGTCACAGGTCGATTCCCAACAAGGGCACGTACCCGAGTTGTAGGTTTGATTCCACAAATGGGAAGCAACCATTGATGTCTCTCCCTCACACTGACGTTTCTCTCTCCTCCCCTCTGTTCCACTCTCTCTGGAGTTAGATGGAAAAGGTATCCTTGGGTGAGGATTACAACAACAAAAAAGAAAAAGAAAAAAAAGTTAGCAGGATCAATATGTCTGCCCAGAAAGAGAACAAGGAGATTGTGCCAGAGCTGGTAGGAGGCATCCTTCCCTCATCTCAAGGAAGACAGTAGGTCCCGAACCAGGGCCTTGGCCAGAAACGGGGCAGGTGAATGGGGGTCAGAAATTTCTGAGGGAGCGGCTGCCTTCCACCACCTCCACGGTCCTTAAGCCACCCCTCCCCCCACCAAACCTGTGTTGTCTCAATGGCATTCTCTTAGGCGCGCCGCTCCCCCCTCGCCCCCCAACCCACCCTGACCTGTGGCTGCTCCAAACCTGCCCTGATGGTCCCCCCCCCCGCCTGGCAAACCCCCTCTGCTTGGCCATGCTGTCCCCCACACAGGTGTCCTCACCATCCTCACAGCCTGGAAGCCCAGCGTGACCGGGCCAGGCCCTGCACACACTGCCAGTTTCTCCCGACACCATGGCTGACTTTCTGGACTTCCTGGAGCCAGGGGACTATGCTCTCAGGGCTGTAAACTGGGGATTGCCCTGGGCCCTTGAGGGTACCTTCCTGTTCTTCCACTTCCTCACCCATAGGAGGAGGGCTGAAACACCTGGCCTCACAGACTCGGGGCTGGACCCAAAGGGCCATGGTCCCAGGCAGATGCCCCGCCCCCGGAATGTTTGTTTCCAGCAGAGCCCCGTGAGGAGAGGGAATACTGAGGCCTGAAGAAAGGGGGGATTTGCCAAAGGAGATGCAAGCAACTGATGACCCTCCCACCCCCAACCACTGGTCTTTTGTATAGATGGACAAGTGGGCCTGGAACCTGAGGCCTGGCTGGAGCAGTGAGCCCCTAAGGCGGGCGAGGACAGGGAGGGGCCATGTGGCTTCCCCTTGGGTGCCCCTCAGTGGCCAAGAGGAGTCTAATTTACTGGCTGCATTTCAGCTGTGACACCTGTTTGGCCCCCAAACCCAACTCATGTTGAGACCATGAAAGGGGGCAGAGCTTGGGAGAGTGGGATTGTCCAGTGGAGGAAATTGGGGATCCACAGGGATCGGGACACACCCCCTACCCCAGTGGGGATGATAGAGTGCATAAGAGCAGGTGGTGAGCCCTGGCTGGTGTTGCTCAATGGTTAGAGTGTGGAAACACTGAAGGGTCACAAGTTCGATCCCTCGCCCTGGCCTGCAGGAGGCAGCTAATCTATGTCTCTCTCAAAATGCTCTCTCTCTTTATCTCTCTCTCTCTCTCCCTCCCTCCCTTCCTCCCTCAAAAAAAAGCAATAGAAGAAATATTCTCCTCAGGTGAGAATTAACAACAAAAAAGAGTGGGTGGTGACAGGGGGCCGAGTCCCATGCCTGGGGAACTCTGGGCCACCACTGACAGCTGGGCACTGCCCTCAGGATGCCAACACAGAAAACGGGAATGTGGAGATAGCCCTCAGGCCCTCAAAGCGGGAAGGCCGAGTCTCAGGAGAGCCTAGGAGACGAGGGAAGCCCTTTGCCTCCCATCACTCACATGACCCCCTTATGGGGTCCTGGCCACAGCCAGGTGCTGGCGCTCGGAGAACCAGGCCCCAGGGTGACCTCAGGCTACACCTGCCAGCACAATGAGGGGAGGGGACGCGGGCAGGGGAGCTCCACCAGAGAGCGGCGGGGCCGCGCTCCAAGCAGGGCAGGGCTGACAAGTTCCCACAGCCAGGCACGGCCCCGAGGACGGCAGTCCCGGTGGGCCACGGCACAGCAGGGCGGTCTGGAGGAAGCTGGCTTGTCTGTGACACAGGGACACGGGAGCTCCCCACGACAGGACTGGTCTATAATGGCCAACACAAGGAGCCCCCACCCAAGCACGGACACCCCTTTATTTCCATGCCCCACAGTGGGTGGACAGGAACACCGAGGCATGGTCCCCAACATCCTGCAGCGTCCTGGCTGCCAGAAAGGACACCTGGACCTGCAGGGTTGGGGCCAGAGAAGAACAGACAATGGGAGACAATCCCAGGCCACCACCCACGGCTGGAACTGAGATGGAAGAGACAGACCCAGGGCCCTGCCTTCACCGCCGTTCACAAACCCAACATGACCACGCCCAGCCCTGGTGAAGACATGGGCACAGGCTCGCCCTGAGTAAGGACATGGATGGCAAGGGGGGCATGGGTCCAAGGTCACCCCCATGGCCAGTGAACCAGCCTCCCGAGAAGCAAGGAGGGCAGAGCCAATGAGACCAGGGCTCAAATCCCAGCCCTGCCTCGTCTCTCAGCTTCTTCCTCCTGTGCCTTCGTGGGGAGGGTGGCCCTGAATCCAGGGATTGCCAGGGAAGGATGAATAACTGAGGGCAGGTTGTGCCCCTGCCCTGGGGAGAGCCTGAGCAGTAAGAAGGGACAGGCCTGGCACCCAGGGACCCACAGGGTGGAGAAGGGGTGGGTGACGGGAGGAGGGGAAGGAGTGGGGCTGGGGCAGTCTTTCAGGGTGTGCTTGAGAACGGGGTGGGAGAGGCTGGGACCCGAAGATGGTTCTGGAGCTGGGGCAATGCAACCTGTCCTGGAATTCAGGCTCCCCCCCTAGTGCCCTGTACCCCAGTTGTGGGTGGTTACTGAGTGCCAGACTGGGTTAGAACCAGTGCCTTAGGAATCCACATAGAACCCTGAGGGAGGTGCTGCCCCCCTCCCCCTACAGAGAAGGGCTCCTTTGCTCAGGGTCTACAGGATTCACCCTATTGCCTCGTCGTCTTTGTTGTCCACAACCACTCACTATCCGGGCTGGCACCCAACGCACACCCGGGAGGGAGGTTGGGTGGAGCCTGAGGCCCCAGGCTCACTCCTCCACACGCTCCGGAGGCTAAGGTTCCGTGCCCTCGGCCTGACCCATCGCCACCTGTGAGCCGGAAGGTGGGGCCTCTCTGAAAGGGCCCTCTGGTGTCAGGGCTGCATCCTCACACAAGGCACACCCTCCGCTCCACCGCACAAAAGAGGAGCCTAGTGATTCGGGGCAAATGGCCCCCAGGCATCGGTATCCACACTTGCCCACCTGCAGGCTTCTGGACACTCAGTAAGTAACCGTCTGTTACCTGTCCCAGCGCCGTTGGGGGGACAGGAGGGGGGAGAGGGGGCCTGTATAGGAAGGGTGGGGAGGCTGTCGGGCATGGTCTAGCTTGAAGGCAGCTGCAAGGTTCAGAAAGTGACCAGTCTTCCTCCCTCACTCTCACTCCTGAGGGTGGGTCTCAGCACCACGCCTGGCACTCCCGTGTCCACATGTGGAAGGAAGAAATGAATGACCAGAGGGCTGGCTGGCCGAGCCACCCCACCCACTGGAGCGAGCAGAGGACGTGCCTAGAGCATCCCTGTGGTCCTCTGCTTGTGGTGGTGGTGAGGGCGACAGGCCACCTTATAATGCAGGTCACCACCCACCCTGCTCTGGCTCCTGTTTTTGAGGGCCCAGTGGCTGAGACACCCACCCCCCTTCGCAGCCTGAGTGTCCTTTGGCCCTACCTAAAGCCCCGCCCAGGCCCCACCCCAAGTTCTAGATCCTGGGTGACCATAGGGGGCCAGCAGGGAGGGGGGAGGTGTGGGCAGGAAAGCAGGAGAAAGTTGAGGCCGGTGGGCAGGCAGCTAGCAGGGTGGGTGGGTGGGTATCTGGGCACTGCCCACCATCCTCCGCCCACCCCGCAGCTCCAGGGCCAATGAGCGGCGGCCAGCCTGATGTCGCCCTGCAAATCTGAGTCTGGCTCTCTTAACAAAGAGAACAATGGGGCGGCCACAGGGAAGCTCGGCAATGCCACGGAGGGGACCCCTCCATCCAGTTTCCCACCTGCCCGCTAGGCTACGGCCATGCGTTGGAGCCCCTTTTACAACCGGCCCTTCCACATACCCCCACATTCCCGACTGGCACGGAGAGCAGGGCAGGACCCTGTCTCGTCCTGTCCTGCCCCCACCCCCCAGCAGGGTCCCCAGGCTGGCAAGTCGTGGCGTGCCCTTTGTGCGGCCAAACTTCTCTCATCACCCTCACTGAGCACCCCACAACCCGAGCTGGCCCGCCCCATGCCTGCTAGGAGTATGGAGCTCCTACCCGCTAGCCGGGGCCCCGGTCCCCAGGATGGCACGGCCCAGGGCCCCGCAGCAGCGCTGCACCTCGGGGTCCTTCCGGGCTGGAGGCGCCCAGACAAAGGCAGCGGCGGGCCGGAGCGTGGTGGGGAGGCGCGCGAGCAGCGCCCAAGTTTCCCTCGCGGGCCACAGGCAGGACAAAGGCACAGGCTCAGGCGGCCACTGAGGCCAAAGCCCACGCGGGGCGTGGCCTGGGTCTGGCTGGCGGCCGCGGGCTGGGCTGGGGCGGCCCCGTCCCCGGAGCGGCAGCGCGGAGACCCCCCCGCCCCCCGGGACTGCGCCCCCGACGGCGGCCACTCACCCTGGCGACCCACGATCTCGGCGACGTGCTCGGAGCTGGGGACCGGCACGCACTCGGTCATGTTCACGCTCTTCTTGCGGCTGCCAATCACGCTCATCTGCTCGGCCAGCAGCGTCGGGGGGCCCAGCGCGGCGGGGTGGGCCGCGAAGCTCGCGAACACATCGGGCGGCGACGGCCGCGGCGGCGGGGGGCTCACGTCGGGCTCCAGCAGCGGCAGCGGGCCCGGGGTCACGGCCACCGCGGGCGCGCCCGCCTCGGGCCCGTCGGGGGGCGTCGGCTCCGCCGCGGCCCCGCCGTCCGCGCCCCGCGCGGCCGCCGCCACGCCGTCCCCGCTGCCCGCGGCGGCGCCCTCCTCGTCCGGGCCGCCCGCGCCGCCCAGCCCCAGCGCGGAGAGCTGGTGGAGCGCGAGGCGCAGCGCGGCGGCCGCGTCGTCGGGCTCGGGCGGCGGCCGGGGCGCGGGAGCGGCCTCCTCGGCGGCCTCGGGCGCGGGCGGCGGCTGAGCACCTGGGCTGGGGTCCCCGCCGGCCGCCGCCCCGGGCCCGCTGCCGCCCGCGCCCCCGCTGCCGTCGGGCTGGCCGAGGGAGCCGGACATGGCGCTAGCGCTCAGGCCCGCGCCCCTGCCTCTGGGCCGCCGGCCGCCCGCGCCGCCGCCGCCCGCGCCGCCGCCCTCCGCCTCTGAGAGCGCGGCCGCCGGCCGCCGGCATCCAGCGGCGGGGCGGGAGCGGCGGGGGCGCGGCGGCGCGGGGCTGCTCGGGGCCGCGGGAGGCGCGGCGGCGGCGCGACTCTGCTCGCTCTGGGCGGCGGCAGCGGCGGCGGGGATCTCGGCGGCGTCGGCGGCGGCGGCGCGGACGCTCCTTCCCTCCCGCCCTCCCGCCGCCCTCCCTCCGGCCGCCCGCCCCGCCCCGCCCCGGCCCCGCCCCCGTGACGCGCGTGCAGCCAACAATGGGGCTCCGGGCAGGGCGCACGCGCGGGGCGGGGCGGGGTGCGGTCACATGGGCGCCCGCCACCCTCGCCTGGGGCGCTCGGGCAGGTCCTGCGCGCCTGCAGGTGCGGGCGCTGCCGAAGGTAGGTGCCCGCGGCGCCCTGTGGCCCGTAGCGCCCGCCTTCCTTAGCCGGAGGACTTGCTGTGCCCCAAGGCACTTTGCCCCTGTCCTCGCCCGGGGCTGGGGTCTCTCCTCCAGACCTGGCCTGCCTTCGGACTCCGGTCCCCAGTTCCTGCACGTACACGGCTCCCGTGGGCCCCCGGGGAGGTCAAGGGCACCCACATCCCCCAGACGGAGTGTGCTGGAGCCCGAGGTTGCGCCACGTGGGCGGTGCTTCCCGGTTTGGGCTGGCTCCCACTGGCCAGAGCCCTCGGAGGTGAAGATCTTCCCTCTTCTGGGGTGCCTGGCGCCCTGTCCTGTCCTATGGGCTCCCAGAATAGCCCAGCGTGCCCATTTCCATAGCCATTCTGTCCCCGTGGTCCTTCCTTAGCCCTTTTCCTTTGGGGTTTAAGGAGCCCTCCGGTTTTCCCGTGCGGTTTCTCATGATAAATGGGCAGGGTGCAGAATGGACTCCGTGGAGTCACCCGCCCACGTCTTCAAGGGGACCCCTCTTAAGTCCCTGGTTGGCTGTGGAACTTCAGAACTATTGCACGAGCTTTTCAGGTGGGTGAGGGGGTGAACTGGTCCTTTTGCCATGCACTGGCCCCTACCCTAGTGTCCACTGCCATCCTCACCAATTTTGGTCTGCCCTCCACCCTCCACCATGTAGTTCCTCAGCCAAGGCTGTCCACTATTGAATCGTCCACCTCCAGTCACTTCTCTCCACCTGCCTTCCTGGCAGGCACCCCTCCCCCAATTAAATCCCTCACTCCGCACTGGCCATTGTGGCTCGGAGCATCATCCAGTGCACCAAAGGGTTGCAGATGGTCAGGGCACATACCAGGGTTTTGGGTTTGATCCTTGGTTGGGGTGTGAAGGAAGGCAATATTGTTTTCTCTCTCCCAAATCAATACAAAACATATCCTTGGGCGAGGATTAAAAAAAAACAACAAAAACCCTTCACTCCTCTGCCTTGGTCCCTGTGCCAGATCTTTCCCCACCCTCATCCCCAGGCCACATCCAGCCCAAGTTCCTCTGGCTGGTACCAGATCTGAGCTGGCTCTGCTATTAATGCATGCTGAATTAGTGATAAGAAGTTGAAGATCTAATCCTAGGGCTCAAATTGTTCCCTCAGACCCAGAGGCTATGAATGGTGTCCTGATTCCACGGTGGGGTAGAGATGAGGGAGGTTGATCGAGGATGTGTCTTCTGTGGTGGGCAAATGGCCTCCAAAGACATTCATCCTCTTTGCAGGTGGGATTAAGTCAAGGCCGCTGAGATGGGGTGATCTTAGATTTCCCTGGGGGACTCAGTGTCATCACACCCTCAGAAGAGGGAGACAGGAAGGTCAGAGTCAAGCCTGGAAGATGCCGAATTACTGGCTGTTAAAATGAAGAGGCTACAGGCCAGAGAAGTAACACCCCTGGAAGCCAGAAAAGACAGGAAACAATCCTCCTTTAGTGCCTTTGGAAGGTTCAACCCTGCACACTTGGAGTTAGCCCCATGAAGCCCATGTCAGACTCCTGACCCCAATGACTGTGTGAATTTAGCCAGTTTATGGTGATTTGTCCCAGCAACCACAGGAGTCTCAAAGTGAGGAGGCATCCCTGGCAGGCTAAGCTGAGTGTGGGTGTAAGGTGGCTCAGAAAGCTCCTCTGCCTGCCTTGGGCTGGAAGAAGCCAGGCATATTATGGTAGAGACATGGGGGTGGCTCAGGTCCACGATGCAGATGCCCTAAACCAGTGGTCGGCAAACTGTGGCTCATGCGCCACATATCACGTGCGGGCGCGCACATATAGTGCTTTTGAAATTTCGTGGCCCATGCGCAGAAGTCGGTTTCAGGCTCTCAAATGTCAGTCCTACTGTTGATATTTGGCTCTGTTGATAATGAATCTGCCGACCACTGCCCTAAACCGTTGGCTCAGAAACCCTGGCACTTTTGTCTCTGGGAGTCTCGCTGGGGAGGAGAAAGAGTTCAGGTGAGACCAAGATTGGAAAGTGCCGGGAAGGGGTCTAGGATGTGACTGGGCATTCCGTTCCTGCAGAACCACCCCAGGCTCTTGTCCTATTTGAGGTCAGTGGCTGCTCAAGGCCTCTCAGTGGCAGAGGCTGGCACTATCAAGCTGCATGGGTGTTGGAGTCATGAAGACCCAAGTTCTCAGGTAGGCCCAACTCCTTTGCAAACAGTGCCCCTAAGCAAGTTGCTAACTTGAGCTTCAAGTTTTCTTTCTGGAAGCTGGAACCAGTTCCGGTGGGTGGGCAGGGCTGTCCGCAGAGTAAAGAGAATGCATGGGGGGGGGGGGAACCCTCAGAGGGGGGAGGGGATACGGAAAGATAAACGGAGACTCCATGTGGGGTGAGGAGGGGGTCCAGGCCATTAAGACTGAAGAGCTGTGGGATGGGGAACAGAGGTCTTGGGGGAGGGGGGGCCACAGGTGCATCAGGGTTCTCCCAGCTCTTGCACCAGCTGTGACCCTGACAGGGTCAGAAGGTCCAATTCAGGTCCCCAAGGCCAAACTCAGCCATGTCCGTGTGCCCCGCCCTGAAGAACCCCCTTCTATCCCAACACAAACCCACTGGGAGCTCCAGGTGCTCCAAGGGAGTCTTGGGGACTTCAACCAGTAGGTGCAGGACCCTTCACATTTTATGACATTATGCTAACAGTGCTGGGACTGTCAGAAGGCCTGCACCTTGGAGTCTATGGGGAAATCTGCCATCCCCTGGGACAGGCCAGCCCCTCCTGATTCCATTATCGCCCAGCCCAGAATTGACCCACAGGATGCAGGCCTGGCAGGCCCAGATGAGGCCCCTATTGCTCAGAAACAAACACTGCTCTTCAGATTGAATCCAGACCTCAAACATGCTTGCCCTAGATGGCTTTATTGTCATGTCACCCACAGTAACCTCCCTGCAGCCCCTCTACTCAGACCTGAGGGACAGAGCTGGACTCATGGCCCAGGGCCCTCAGGCCCAACAGGCACTGGGACCTGCACAGGGCGGCCTTCTTGGTTCTCAGGATTTGCGTTTCAACTTGACTTGGAAGGATGTGGTCAGTTTGACAGCACCAGCATCCTTGGAAGATCAAGATGGTAGCAACCACTCACAGCTCTGAGGGGCTCCCATGCCACCCCTCACCCCTGACCCACATGCCCATACCTAAACTGCCCCAGGTGTCTGGCCAAGTGACTCAGCAACCAGAATCCTTGCCCAGTCACAAGCTGCTGGTTAGGGCAGAGTGGGTACAAGGTGGTACTCCTCTCCCAAGGCACTGGGGATGTAGGGGATGAGTGAAGTAACAAGATTCTGATGATCTTCGCCCCCAGTGCTTCTCAGAGACCACTGTTCTGGGCGTAGCACTTAGAAATGCTTGGCCATGAAACACACCTCTAGACAGGAACACACAGGAGCCAGGGCCCCAGTGGCAGCTCCAGCCAGGCCAGGCCGCCCACAGCCTAGAGTGTTGGCTTTAATTGTGCCTGTCATATAAGGGCTGTGAGCAGTCCTCCTCAGATGCTGGTGGCTGACCCTTAGGCAGGGCAGCCAGGCCACAGACAGCAAGGTTTTCACACCCAGATGAAGTCCAGCAAACACAAAAGGTAAAGAAGTTAGAGGGCGTTCAGCCTCGTTTGTATCACCGATTTATTGAAGGAAAACGTCTGGGCTGTGCTGCTTTCTTTCAGACACACTCTGAGTGTCACGGCTTTGCTCAGCTGGATGGGCACTCGGGAACCACCCTGCAACCCTTTCTGGGAGGGCTGAGTCTGGCCCAGAGGATTGTCCCTCACACTCAAGATCGGGAGGTAAGCCTGTTTCAAGAACCCTTTTCTGAGCTCAGGATGGCGACAATGAGTCCAGAGGCCCAGTTGCATCCAGGAGCCATAACCCTGCAGGCAGGGCCCAGGCATGACCAGCACTTTCAGAAGTCTGGCCCTTCAAAGAAGAGCAAACAGGATTTGCAGGGCAGGGGACCATCCTCCAGCCATGACCCCAGGTGTCCTAGTGGCCGGGGGAGTGGGCTTGTCTGGGAAGGGAGGGCCGCCTTCCTACCAAGCCTGGTCCCATTAGGGCAAGGGCTGTCTGTAGGTGCCCCCGCAGGCACGGCCTCTGGAAGGACGGGGAGGGCCTGGCCACCCTGGGCTCCTCCAGGGAGACAGGTGCTCTCCTAGCACAGCCGATACCCAGCATGGAACAGGTCCCAAGAACTCTTGGACTGTCTCTTCCCCCTGTGGTCACTACCCAAGCACATGCTGTATCTTGGGGTCCACCTACAACTGCTCTACATGTGCTCCATTTCCTGGTCTTGATCAGGCTCCTCCTCCTCCTCCTCTTCATCTTCCACCTCCTCTTCCGCACCTGGCTTGTCCAGCGGCGCCTCACCATCCCGGGCCAGCTCCTCCACATGGGCCAGCATGTCAGCCATCAGCGCCTCTTCCAGCCGTTTGCGAACCTGCTGTACCAGTTCCTCCTGCTTCCTGGAGACACATGGAGTGCTGACAGGGAATGTCCCTGTCTCTGGGAAGACCAGGGTGCGAGGCCAGGAGGATGGGATGCATAGATAGATATACATGGGCTTCTGACTTTTTTGGGCCCGAGGGTCCTCCAGCCCTGGCCTGTGGCTCACACTCCCTTCTTGAGCAAGTAGCTCTGACTCAGCCTTCCAGATGGCAGACCCCAGGGGCTCTGAGTGCTCACTCTATTCCTATTCACTGGCCTCCTCACTCCCTCTTGCCACCACCCTGTCTCCCCACTTCCTAGCAGGTTCTACCCCCATCAGTTCTGGTCAATCTGGTCTGCCTGATAGCTCTCCTCCTCCCAAAATGGGTGGTCACCTGTCTGCTTGGCTCTTTTGGTCTACTGCACATGTGTAAGCTCTTTCGCTATCACTTGAATGGGGTTTGCAAAGAGGGGGAAAAGACCACTGAGTGTCCAGTCCATTGACTAGCCAATGTCACCTGTCTTATGGATGAATTTGCAATTCTAGGTAGGGAATGGCTTTCCGTCTCCCCCACCTCCCCCCCAATATATTTTTATTGATTTCAGAGAGGAAGAGATAGAAACATCAATGGTGAAGGGGAATCATTGATTGGCTGCCTTCTGCCAATCTCACAACACGGGCATGTGCCCCTGACTGGAATCTAACCCTGGACCCTGGAGCCCGCAGGTCTATGTTCTATACACTGAGCCAAACAGGCTACGGCTGGCTTTCTGTCTCTTGGCAAAGAAAGCGGCTGTAGCCTCGTCTGCTTACCCATCTGCCTCCCCTCCCTGTGGCTTTTAAGATCCATCCCCTCTCAAGTTCTGCATCTTCACTATAACATGAACCTAACGTTTGTGTCTGTTGCCAGGTTGGCACTGGCCCTGTCCAGTGTGGAAAGCGTCCTCTCTCTCCTTACCATCGTCATCTCTGCACAGCTGGCTACTCACCTCTCCAGACAGGACCAGATCCACTGCCTAACCCATGACTTACATTTTTCATTTTAGTGACTTCTAATTGTAGTTCTGCTTAGCTTTAAAAATCCTTCCAGTCTTTTTGGAGTCATGTTCTTTTTTTATACTTTTAATTCCCTCTCTTGCCCTTTCTCTTGGGCAGACTCTCTGGCATGGGGGACTTGGGGGTGGTGGTGTGGTATCTTAGTTCCATGTCCTCACCTGACATGGAGCACGGGGGCTTCTCTCACACCCACGAAGCTTTGAGCCCCCAATTCCTGAGACAGGAAGTCCATAAACCACAACCCAGCACATACACCAATCAGCCTGCTCTGGTTTCCAGTCCCTTCTTTGTTTGGGGGTAGAGGGGTCCCTAAATTTCTTAACTTCTCTTGACCTCACAAAACTTTTTGTTGTTGTAAATCCTCACATGGGATATATTTCCATTGATTTTTAGGAAGAGTGGAAGAGAGAGGGAAAGAGAAATATTGATGTGACAGAAACACATGGACTGGTTGGTTACTCCTACACACGCCCCCACCAGGGCTCAGGACGGGGAGAAGCCAGCAACCAAGGTATGTGCCTTTGACTGGAATCAAACCCAGGACCATTGGTCCACAGGCCAACACTCTATCCACTGAGCCAAAAAGGCTAGGGCAGACCTCACAAAACATTTAAAGTTTTACACTGACATTTAAACTGTGCTCTGAAATTTTAGGTTTTAAAGGATGCGTATTTATCCTTTCAGCACTTTTACATGTTTCCTGCCCAGTGCCAGTTCAAACCACTTCCTACCAGGTCTTCCCAAAAGGTTCCAGAACTTACTCCAAGTTCACCTGCACCTGGGCACTACCAACTCGGGCCCAGCACTAAAGCCCTAGGATGTGTTTAACTCCACCTCTCAGTACTTCCTGTTCCTGCCATGTGCCCACTTCCTGCCACTCTCTAGAGCCTCCTCTCCTCTGTGCCACAGGTACTATCCCACCCTCATCAGGACCCTCAAAGGCCTCATATCCCTAAGGCTCGAAGACACACCAGCCAGGAGCCACAGAGGGTGAGGTGGGGGAGCAGCTACCTGATGTCCTCATCAGTCACCATGAAAGCCTTGCAGAGGGGCTGGGCTGTGTTGAGCCATACTCCAGGGTTCTTCTCCACGGCAGCTGAGAGCTGGCCAGTGATGGGCATGGTGCTGGTGTGCAAGGCGCTGGCTATGGCAGAGAGCAGGGTCTCATCTGTGCAGCCGGGTCCCACTCCTGCAGGGGCGCAGGAGGTACAGTCACCATCAGGCACTGGCCTTTGTCCCTCCACCTCGGATGTGTTCCCAAACCCCCCTTATGAGCAGGCAGGTGCTCTCACATCACAAAAGGAACTCTACATGCTCTGTCTATGATGGAGCAAAATCACACCCCAAATTTTTCCAGGACCCTCCAGGAAGATGCACCTTGCTGGTCCTATGCCTCCCCCCAACCTCGCGGCCTCCCTCCTCCCACAGATGTGCTGCTCTGGGTAACTGTCCAGGACCAGATATCAGGCATCTGCCCCAAAGCTGGAGGTTGGAGGGTCCCTTCCTTTCTCCTGCAGGCCTGGCCCCCTTCCTAACTTCCCCTTACCGTCCTGGGGTCTGGGTTTACCTTGCAGACCTTTAGGGAGGTCCATGGTCTTCACAAGCTCTTCAGCAATATCAAAGGCATTCAGGCCACTCAGCTTCTTCTCCCAGAAGAGCTACCGCCGGACAGACAGATGTGAGGCCAATAACACAGCAAGGCACCCCCATGCACAGGTGAACCACAGCAGTCCGGATGACGGCTAAAGCCCATCCACATGTAGTGCAGTGGTTGGTCTCAGCATGACCTCCCACCCCTACCCTGGCTGGGCTGCTGAGATCCCAGCTTGAGAAATGAAGGTGCCACATCCAACAGGATTCACACTCATCTTCCCAGAACAGAGAAACACCAACTCCAGTTTTTGGCAGGACAAAGACCCAGGATGTTAGATGTGTGGTGATGTTACCAAAAGATTGTCCCACACCCCCACTATACAGTGTGTGGATGTTTGTAAATATGTATGAAAACACTGGCAATTCTCAGTTTTTGAAAAGTAGGTTATACATCCATCACGTATGATCTTATTTAAAACCCCTCCCCCCACAAAACTTAACCATTTATTCAAGAAAACACTGGCTTGCCCTGGCTGGTATGGCTTGGTGAATGGAGCGTCGGCCTGTGGACTGAAGAGTCCCAGGTTCAATTCCAGTTAAGGGCACATGCCTGGGTTGCAGGCTCAATCCACAGTGTGGGGTGTGCAGAAGGCAGCTAATCAATGATTCTCTCTCAACATTGATGTTTCTGCCTCTCTCTCTCCCTCTCTTTCCTTTTCTCTGAAATCAATAAAAAATATATTTAAAAAAACAAACAAAACAACAACATTGACCAGTCCAACAGGCATAGATCAATGGTTGAGGATCAACCTATGAACCAGGAGGTCATGATTCAGTTCCCAGTCAGGGCATATGCCTGGGTTGTGGACTTGATATCCAATGTGAGGCGTGCAGAAGGCAGCCGATCAATGATTTTTCCTCATCATCGAGTTTCTATCTCTCCCTCTCTGAAATAAATAAAAATATATATAAAAAATAAAACATTGGCTCTTTCCGGTTTGGCTCAGTGGACAGAGCATTGGCCTGGGAACTGAGGGGTCCCAGGTTCAATTCTGGTCAAGGGCATGTACCTTTGTTGTGGGCACTTCCCCAGTAGGGGGTATGCAGGAGGCAGCTGATCGGTATTTCTCTCTCACTGATGTTTCTAACTCTCTTTCCTTCTCCTTTCCTCTCTGTAAAAAATAAATAAAAAATATATAAAAACAACAGCAGCAGCATTGGCCAGAAAAAGCCCCAAGTGTCCCAGCAGCCCTCTGCATGTGGGTGGGGTCAGGGTGGGGCTTTGCTCCCTAAGAACTAGGTTCTGGGTTGACTGTTCCTGACTTCACTTGGGCTAAGGGACCCAGCAAATGTCAGCTCTGAAGTGTGGACTGCGTGTCTTCTCTGAGGAAAACACCAAATGGTGGATGATGCTGGTGCTGTGGGAGGGTCTGGAGGTCTTGGGGCCCTAGAATGGGAGGCTGAGGAGGGTTTCATGGAGGAACTGGCAGTGGCATCTGGGACTATGGTCGAGGCTGGGGTGGGGTCAGGGTCAAGGCCGCAGAGCTTGCAGAAGCAAGGCCAAGGAGTAGACCCAGTCACCAAGCTGGGCCACCTGGTCAAGTACATGAAGATCAAGTCCCTGTCTGAGATCTGTTTCTTCTCCTGCTCATCAAGGAATCTGAGATCACTGAATTTTTCCTGGGGGTACCCTTCAAGGACAAGGCTTTGAAGATTATGCCCGTGTAAAAGCAGACACTGACTGGCCAGAAGACCCAGTTCAAGGCATTTGTCACCATTGGGGACTACAATGGACCTGTTGGTCTGGGTGTTAGTGTTCAAAGGAAGTAGCCACTGCTATCCTTGAGCCATTACTCTGGCCAAGCTCTCTATTATCTCTGTGGTGAAACTACTAGGGAAGCAAGATCAGCAAGCCCCACACTGTCCCTTGCAAGGTGACTAGCTACTGTAGTTCCGTGCTGGTGTGCCTCATTCCTGTCCAGGGGCACTGGCATAGTCTCAGTCCCCATTCCCAAGAAGCTGCTCTGATGGCCAGGATCCATGACTGCTACACCTTGATCAGGGGCTGCCATGTCACCCCGGGCAACTTCACCAAAGCCACCTGTGACGCTATCTCTGAGACCTACAGTTATCTCACCCCTGACCTCTGGAAAGAGACTGTGTTCACCAAGTCTCTCTATCACTGACCATCTTGTAAAGCCCACACCAGAGTTTCTGAGCAGAGGACCCAAGCTCCAACTGTGGCCACCACATAATTTTATGCAAGAAAATAAATTGAGCCCAGCTGGTGTGGCTTCACATCTTGACCAAGAGATCACTGGTTCAAATTCAGGTCAGAACACATGCTGTTTGCAGGCTCAATCCTCAGTAGGGGGCATGAAGGAAACATTGATCAATGTTTCTCTCTATATATCCCTCTTCCTTTCTCTCTCTCTAAAATTAATTAAACCAGTCCCAGCCTGTTCAGGTCAGTGAATAGAGCGTCAGCCTACAGACTGAAGGGTACTGGGTTCAATTTTGGTCAAAGGCACATGCCTGGGTTGTGGGCTCAATCCCTAGTAGGGGGTGTGTAGGAGGTAGCCGATAGGTGATTCTCTCTTATCGTTGATGTTTCTATCTCTCTCCCTCTCCCTCCCTGAGATCAATAAAAATATTTTTAAAAATTAAAATTAAAATCAAATCATATTACAAAAAGAAAAGTAAGAAAATAAATTGATACTCTGGCTGAGTAGCTCAGATGATTAGAGCATTGTCCTGATAAGTCAAGGTTGTGAGTTAGAGCCCTGGCCAGGGCACACAAAAGAATCAATCAATGAACGCACAAAATAAGTGAAACAACAAATCGATGTTTTTCTAGAAATCAATCAATAAAAAAGAAAAGAAACTGAATTAAGCCTGTTAATTTTTTTAAAAAGAGAGGACCCAGCTTGGAGGGATCAGAAGGTTCAGGGCTGGGCCTGCCCTGGCCAGGGTGTGTAGGCTATGTGCTCACCTGCCGGGGCTGCTCCACAGCCTTCTGGGGGTCACTCTTCACCTTGTTGCTGGGATGGTTGGTGATCTTGGTCACTGGCTGCTTGAAGATGGATGCTGTCTGCCTGACAGGGAGGGCCGTGTTCAGATCAGGTTTGCCCTGTGGAGACAGGAGCTCTGCTACTCAGACTCTTTAGAAGCCTGACTCTCGTGTTCTCCCAGTCACTAGCACTCCCAGTGGCACCCAGAGACCTGGAGGAGATGCCAAGTCCAGTCCCTGCTTATTTGCTGCCCTCGGTGGGGCTAAGGACACACCCTGGCCCTGTCCTTGCCTCCTGTGCCTCATTCTCTGTGAAGGACTAGCCTGGGACAGGTTCAAAGTTCCATTGCACATGTCCATCAGAGACTGGGGACACAGAGTGTCACTGGGTACCATGGACTGTCAGCTATTGAAGACACTGTGCAAGGAAGGAAAGTGCAACAAGCACCAGAAGCAGCCAGAGACCTCTCAAGGGACAGAATCACGATTCCTTTTTTCTCCTTTTCTGTGGCCTCCAAAGTTCCCTTAGTAAAGAGTTACTTCAACACCAGAAGTAAACTCCATTACAGCACCAGCTCTTTCCACCACCACAGTGGGTGTGAAATGGTGGATCCACCCCCACCCTCCCGCCACTCCATTGTGATTGGGTGGAGCAGGGCAGGGTGGCTCACCTTGACCTGGTTGGAGGAGTCATAGCGCACCCGTTGCCGGCTCTTGTTCATCTTGCTCATCAGCATCTTGCCCGTCCGGAAGTCGAAGGCCCCCAGGTCCATGGAGCCGCCCAGGTACCGTGCCAGCTGTGGTTTGCTGCGGAACTTCTTCCCACTTGGGCTGCGGACAGAGAGGAGTCAGTGGCTGCAGGATGTGCTGGGTCACCCCACACCCCCAACTCCAGGTCCAGAGCAGAGATGAACACCTGGATCTACAGAGTGATGGGGCCTTGAGAGCCTGACTGCCATTTTCAGAACATTCCAGAAACAGAAATAGGCCATGTTCTTGAGAATAGACCCAATGATAGCAGATATTTGAGGAACATGCCCTAATAGCAATCTCCGACGAGTGGTTATGGCATTGAGGACTAGGGGCTCCTGGGGACCAGTAAAATCTCATGTTAAGATTTGGGACCAGGACCCCAAACAACTGCTCAGGCGAGACCCATTGGGAAAGTGGGAAAGTAGAAGCTGTGATGGCCTGGCTGTGAAGATCTGCCTCCTGCTCAGCTCTGAGGACACAACACCCACCCACAGGGCCAATGTGCAGCAAAGTCAACACAGGACCCAGCATGCAGTAACAGTGCTGCCAGGAAGACTTGTGCAGCCACTTTGGAAATAGCCTGGCAGCTCTTCAAAGGACCAAATAGCCATCCCACCCGTAGGTATCTCCCTGAGAAGTGAAAACATACATCCATGAAAAAATTTAACCCAAATATTCACAGCAGCAGGAATCACAATAGGCATAAGCGGAAACAACCTAGATGGCCACCAGCTAATCAATAAACACAACAGGACCCCACCCTCAAACTCAGCCACGAAATGCAGGGGAGCACTGACACTCTACGATGTGGATGAACCATCGAAGACATGATGCTCAGTGAGAAGCCAGACACAAAACGCCACACAGTTTGTGATTTCATTGATGCCCAGAACAAGCAAATGCACAAGTATAAGTAGATTTGTAGGTGCCAGGGGTTGAAGAGCAGGAAGGAGGGATAACTACTGATGGGCATGGAGAAACCTCTGAGATAAGCCCCTAATTTGAGCAAGCACATACCTGCCCCCTCCAGTCCTGTCCCACATGTCCAGGCACAGAGCAAACCAGGACAGTGAAGGGCAGGATGGGTCCAGTTACAGCCAGGAGGAAACCCATGGCACTCGGCTCAGGCAGCCCTGCTGAGACCCCCCACTGGGGGGTTATTGCAGGAACTTGTGCTTCTTCCCTTGGCCTGGTCAATCAGCTAGGACTGGGTGCTTTAAGAGTCCCCTACCGCCTAAGGCTGCTAAGGACTCTTCTGGAAGATCCACTTTTCTATTATGCTCTGTGTTGACAGATAGGAACACCCAGTCCATGTGCCCAGGGCAATGGAAAGGCAAAGAGGGAAGAAACCCACTCAAAATACTCGCCAACATTTCTTTGCCTCCAGTCACTTCACCCGTTGCTGTTGTCTTTAAACATGAATGAGAACAGGGAGATCAAAACACAAAGCCCAGTTGATGTGGCTCAGTGGTTGAGCATCTACCTATGAACCAGGTCATGGTTTGATTCCCAGTCAGGGCACACGCCCAGGTTGCACTCGATCCCCAGTGTGGGGCGTGCAAGAGGCAGCCAATCGATGATTCTCTCTCATCATTGATGTTCTTTCTATCTCCCTTCCTCTCTGAAATCAAGAAAAAAATATTTTTAAAACAAAACACAATGCACAGGTTAGCAGTTGCTCAAGGCTGGGGATAGGGGTGATGAAAATGTCCTAAAATTGACTGTGGTAATGGCTGTATCTTTGAATATACCAAAACTGTACACTTTAAATGGGTGACTTGTGTGTTACGTATACCCTATCTCAATAAAGCTGTTTAAAACAAGTGCCAGGAGCTCAGAGAGGGACTAGGGAGCCATGCTAATGGGTAGAGGGCTTTGATTTGGGATAATGAGAAAGTTCTGGAACTAGAATGGTGATGGTTGCAAAATGTTTTGAATTGTACTAAAAATTGCCAAACTGTAAGCTTTTGGAAGTATGGAATGTGAAATTCTATCTCAATTTTCCAAACAGGTTTTGCAGATCTATACTGACAGATTGAGACATTCCTGACACTTAGTGAGAAAACAAATGAGCACCATAGCCCTTCTCAGGAGGTAGGCTTACCTGGGAGCCCAGCTGGTTATGGGGAGGAGAATCTGTGCCCAGTGTGGAGCCTAGGGGTCTGAAGGAGGCAAAAACACTTGCCTCGGACCTGGCCTTTCCCTGTACCTTTGCTTCTCATCAGTAGATGAGTCTGCTGCTTTGGTTTTCCTAAGTCTACTTCTACTTTTAAATGAGATCTTTTGGAAAAATCCTCTCAAAAAATTATTCATTAGGTCAGGAAAATAACTTCCCTCAAGTCCTCAGTTTCCTGCCTGGATAGAAAATGTCAAGCAGGGACTGTTTTCACAAAGAAAACACGGGGCACTCCATAACCCCGTCTCGGCAGACTCTGGGAGTGAAGTTCGGACAAAATCATCAAGATGGAGGGTTGGGTGGATGCGCCCCCAGGGGATGGTCCATAGGGTCACTCCCTCTCTTGCAATGCAATTCTTCAATACCTATCACTTTTTGGAGGAGGAAGATAAGAATTTAAGGCCTGCATGTCCCTAGGGGCAGGGCTAGAACTCAGGGCCAGTCTAATCTGACTCCTCAGCCTCCAAAGCATTAAGACAATCGGGAAAATCTACCTATGCCCTAGCCCAGTTGCTTGGTTCAGAAGGGTCTCCAGAGAGTGGTGAGGAAACCAGAAACTCACATTCCAGGAAACACCATAGTTCCACATCACACCTCCCTAGCATTTCCGCCACTGGGAGAAAGGATAACTGGTGGGACACTCAGGCCAGAGGCCTGGCAATGAAGCCGGACTCCGCACCCCCCTCCTCTCACATCTCAGGCCCTCACCTCTTCAGTGCAGCCATGGAAAACCTGGAGTTGCATCTGTCCAGCCCGTTTTGGAGCTTCCCCCCATCTCCAGACCCCTATGTTCTGGGTTGGGGCCTCACTCAGCTGAAGCTCTGACCTGCTCCCAGGCAGGAGGGGGTGAGAGGGTGCTCTGACCATACTGGTCTTGGTTCAGCTCCAGAGCTGCAGACTGCTCTCTGCCACCGGCCTCTGCACAGGCTTCTCGTGTTCCCACGCCTGGACTGCTCTTCCTCCCTCTTCACTGTTAGGGCTCAGCTAGATGTCACCCCCTCAGATAGGCCCTCCCTGACCTGCCCCAGCCTCTGCCAGGCACCCCTACTCACAGATCCTGCACTTTTCAGCATGTCACCACCTCACCCGAAAGTAACAGGGTGAGGGCTGGTGCCTCAGCTGTCACCTAGAAGGGGAGGGCCCCAGCTGAATGGCCAGGACGCAGCGGTGCCAGACACCCAGCAGATGCTGCAGAGATGTTAAATTAACAAAGGATTAGAAACAGAGAGACCTGCCTCGGTCCTTGGATTTAAAAGCAAGCAAGCACACAAGCATGTTTGGAATTAGAGGCACATGGTCCTACTCTGAAGCCTCCCCACTGACCCAGGATTTAGGTTTTCCAGAGCCTGTGAGGGAGTGACCTTACAGTAAATGATAGCAAAGAGGAATGCACATGTGTCCCTAAGAGACACTTTTGCAGCGCCACTATGTCAATGAGTAAGTTAAAGGTTCCAGCCAATTCTGTATACGTTCGGAAGCCTAGGTTAGCTCCCATCGCTGCCCTGCACTTCTTGGAAACCGGAAACTAGAGTCTGAGCTTGTCCTGGGCCAGTCACTATCCTTTCCCAGCTCACTTCCCTCCTACTTCCACAAAGGGGCTAGCAAGAGCCTAGCTCTTCCCCTCCCGCCGAGTGCTGGAGGATGGAGCATTGGTTCTGCTTTTCCTTGGCCTCACCCAGCCAGTTTCTGGGCCCACAACCAGGCTGCATACCCCCCAGCACCAGCTGGCATTCAACAGGAGGCAGGTGTCCTGCCCGGCTCTTTCATCAGGGACCTGAAGCAAAGGGGAGGGAACCGTCAAAGCTGGCTCAGAAACAAAAGCTCCTTCTAGCAGTCAGGGGGGGAAATAGGGAGAAGGCAAACAGCAGGTGGCCTGCTGTCTGGGAATGGGCTTCAAGCCTCCCACGAATCCTTTGTTCCACGGAGGAGATTCAGGCAATTTGGCCACTTCTCCCAGGCTAAGGACAGCCCCTGCTTCTAATTTTGGGGAGGTGAACTCTGAAAACCTCGCACCACCAACAACAGGCTCTGTTTGTGCGGTTTCATGAAGTCTCAAGTCTCTGGGACTGGAGGATACACGACCAACGGGGTTGCCGCTCTCCAAACAAGCCCAAAGGTCGGAAAGGGTGACCCTTCAAGACACGCATCCCCTCCCCAGGCCCGGCTCCCCAGGGAACCCAGGCGCCCGCTTTCCTAGGTATGCCCTCCCGGGCCCATCGGAGAAAACTTAGCCCAGCCCCCACCCCTGCCTCCCAGCGACATCTGGCCTGCACCGGCCGGCGCCCTTCGGCCCTCTGGCAGGTTTCCCATGGCTGCCGGAGAGGCCGGCGCTCGACCGTCCGTTGCAAGTGCCATGCGGCCACGTTGGGGGCGCACGCGCACTCGACAGATTGGGGGGGGGGGCCGCCCCGCGCGCGGTCGCGCACGCGCACTGGGCTGGGCGCCCGTCGCGCGCCGAAACGCACGCACGACGCACGCGCGGGGGCCCAGGCCGCGGCCCCGGTCAGGGTGCCCAGGCCGCCGCAGAGGCCGCTGGGAGGCGCTCGTTGGGGCCCTGCCCTGCTAGCACGTTCATTCACCTATAGTAAAAGACATCCCTGTGGCCGGCCGACAGCCCCGACCTTCTGGGCACTTCTTCCCTTTCCCAGCCCTGCGGGAGCGCCGGGCACTCCCACCTCTTCCGCTCCATCGCGCCCGACTCCTCGGCCCGCCGCCGCCGCCGCCGCCGCCGCCGCCCGGACCCCCGGTCTCCGCCGCCTCCGCTGCCGCCGCCGCCGCCGCCGCCACTTACCGTGGCTGTTCCGGCCCGCAGGCCCCCACCCTCCACCCCCAGCCGGGCGCGCGCCGGCTTTGCCGCCCTCTCAGCCCCCTCCCCGCGCTCGCCAGCCCCCGCTCGGGGGGCCCGCTCCGCCCACCCGCCCGCGCGCGCGGGGCCGCGTGGTGCGCAAGCGCTGCGCAGGCCCCGCCCCGCAGCGACCGCGCCACTCCACACCGGGGCGGCGGGGCTGGGGCCCGGGGCTGCGCGAGGCTCGCGCGCTCCGCGTCCGCGTCCTGTGTGCTTGTTGCTCCGTCTCCAAGGGATCTCCCTCCTGCACCTGTCACCACGACCCCGCATGGGCTCCAGGATGCCGGTCCGGTGGCGGGCCTCTATGCCGCTGTCTCCCGGTCTCCCAGCGTCCAGCCTCTTCACCGGTGTCCTCATCCCGGGCCAGTGCCGCTGGCCACCCCGCTGCATATTCCGGGTCCCACCCAACGCTTTTCTGACGTCTCAGAATCTGGCAATGCGCCTCCTTCCTCCCCTGCACCTTGGTCCAGCCACTATCTGTGGGTTGGGGGTTTTGCCCTCCCTTTGTCCCCCTCCCATAACCTCTTCCCAGCCCCAGCCAGAGGGTCCAGGTGGCGCTGCCCCACCAGTACCTCTCCCGGCCTCATTGTCCCGCAGGAGCAGAGCCTGGCCGGTCCACGGCATGAGGACAGCTGTGGCCCGAGCCCGCTGGATCTGACTGCCGTCCTAGAGCCCTCTGGGTCAGTGGTCGGCAAACCACAGCTCAAGAGCCACAAGCAGCTCTTTGGCCCCTTGCGTGTGGCTCTTCCACAAAATACCACGGCCTGGGCGAGTCTATTTTGAAGAAGTGGCGTTAGAAGAAGTTTAAAAAATTTGGCTCTCAAAAGAAATTTCAATCATATTGATATTTGGCTCTGGTGACTAATGAGTTTGCCGACCACTGCTCTGGGTGAGTGGGGAGGATGTGCGTGAGAAGGCCCCAGACCCACCCATGGAGTAAAAAACGGATAATCCGCATATCTAGTTCTCCTCAACAGGCATCTTCCCAACTCTGGGCCATGCGATTCATGCTCAGGTTGGAGGCAATTTCTGGGCGGGGCAACCCAAGCCCACAGCAGGCAGGTGTCTTTGTTTAAAGTCTTCAGGTGAGTGCAACTTGTGAAGATTTCTTATATCCCTTCCCCTCCTGGGTTCTCCAGGGTGTAGCCGCATAGACAAGTGAGCAGGTGGGCACCCTGAATGGAATGGGAAGTGTTGAGATTCCAAAGCTGGTTTGAAGCCTTAGGTTTCTATCTGCGGGATTCAGACCCAAACCCAGGGCTCCAGGACCCTGGCCTTAACTAGTCCTAATCTGCTAAGATGTGTTTTCCAGTGGCTGTGACTTTATTTTTTAAATTAATTTTTTAATCCTCACCAGAGGATATGTTTTTATTGATTTTTCAGAGAGAGAGAGAGAGGGAGAGAGGGAGAAATATCAATTGATTGCATCTGGGGATGGAACCGAAATCTAGCTGTGTGCCAGGACTGGGAATTGAACCTGCAACCTTTTTGGTGTATGGGTTGAGGGTCCAATCAACTGAGCCACATGGCTTAATATGAGAAATATAATTAAACCCAGATGGTGTGGTTCAATGGTTGAGCATCAATCCATTTACCAAAAGGTATGGGCATATGCCCAGGTTTTTCAAATTTGGTCCCCAGTGGGGGGCATGCAGGTGGCAGCAGATCAATGATTCTCTCTCATCATTGATGTTTCTCCTTTCTTCCTCTCTGAAATAAAAAAATATATATTAAAAAATAAAATTATAGAGATAACACATTAATTGTAATCAGTGAAGCCATTTGAACATGTATAAATGAAAAATATTAACAACACCCCCAACCCCCTGTGTCACAGGTCCCCAGGATTATCCCCTGTCCTGCTTTCAGTTTTTGGGGTATATACAGAAATGGAATCCAGAAGTGAAATTGCTGAGTCAGATGGTAATTCTACATTTAGTTGTTTGAGGAACTGCCATCCTATTTTCCACAGCAGCTGCTCCATTTCATATTCCCATGAACAGTGCACACGGGTTCCAGTTTCTCCAGATCCTTGCCAGCACTTATTTTCTGGGATTTTTAAAAAAATATATATTTTATTGGCCGAAACCGGTTTGGCTCAATGGATAGAGCGTCGGCTTGGGGACTGAAGGGTCCCAGGTTCGATTCCGGTCAAGGGCATGTACCTTGGTTGCGGGCATATCCCTAGTAGGGGGTGTGCAGGAGGCAGCTGATTGATGACTCTCTCTCATTGATGTTTCTAACTCTCTATCCCTCTCTTTTCCTCTCTGTACAAAATCAATAAAATATATTTAAAAAAAAAATATATATATATATATATTATTGATTTTTTAACACAGAGGAAGACAGAGGGATAGAGAGTTAGAAACAACAATGAGAGAGAATCACCGATCAGCTGCCTCTTACACACCCCCTACTGGGGATGTGCCCGCAACCAAAGTATAATACATGCCCTTGACCGGAATCGAACCTGGAACCCTTCAGTCCGCAGACCGACGCTCTATCCACTGAGCCAAACTGGTTTCGGCTGTTTTGTTTTTTATAGTAATCATCCTGATGGATGTGTGGTGTTGGATCATAATTTTGATATCAGGAACCAATATACAGCCTATGTGCCCCCCACTTTCTCCTCACATGCTTCCCAGGGAATCTGGCTCAAGCTTGGCCGCTGGAATCATACCCAAGCAGCTGGTCCAGAGGCTGTGTACCTGACTAGGAGAGTGGCATGACCCCAAGAGGGAGGGACAGGGCTGCCCACACTTCTCTCCTTCAGCTGGGCCTTCCCTGCACTTTGCTCCTTTGAAGTAAACCCCCTTTCCCAGGCAGGCTGGCTCAGTCCCCAAGCAGACACCCACTCCTGCCCATCTCCACACGGGAAAAAACACACAAATTAAACCAGAAGGTGCCGTATGAAGAACCTTTAAGACTTTCTATGGCAGGGTCCCCCCCTCAACACTGGTTACATCAGGAGCCAGTTATTCTCTGTGTATAGGGGGACAAGAGGACTTCCTGGGCATTGTGAGATGTTGAGGAGTGTCCCTGCCCTGCACCTACTGATGCCAGGAGAACCCTGAGATGTGATCAGCAGAGATGACCCCAGACACTGCCAATGTCCCTGCAAGCTAATGAGGCTAGGGAGGCAACTCTCCTGGGGCCCAAATTTAGGGGGGGAGGGTGCCAAGTACCTTGCTCATCAAAATGAAAGGTATTTAAACAATACTTGAACAATTCAAAATGAATGCAAACAATTTATTGTGAACAAAACGCAAAACATTATTAATACTATATCAATAAAATTACCAGGTTTAACATTCTCAAAGCCGAGAAAACCAATGATGCCGATTCTGAATTTATATTGCACTTTCCTTTGAACACCCAGCAGGAATAAACTGCTGAATGCATGTACCATGCAAGGTATCAGCATGTTAAAATTTTAAGTAAATACATAATTGAGCAAACTGTTGTGTCAAGCCATTTTGGAGACCGAATGAGACATGCCCCTTTTATGTTGTTTTTAAATTATTCTAAATGTATTTAATTTTTATGTAGTTTTTAAAATATATATATTTTATTGATTTTTTACAGAGAGGAAGGGAGAGAGAGAGAGAGAGAGCTAGAAACGTCGATGAGAGAGAAACATAGACCAGCTGCTTCTTGCACACCCCCACCAGGGATGTGCCTGCAACCAAGGTACACATACCCTTGACCGGAATTGAACCCGGGACCTTTCAGTCTGCAGACCGACGCTCTACCACTGGGCCAAACTGGTTTCGGCTATGTAGTTTTTTTTAACGATTAAGTTTTCTCCCCAGAATATTAAAGTCGTTCTAAAAGTATTGCCCTCGCTGGTTTAGTTCAGTGGATAGAGTGTTGGCCTGAGGACTGAAGGGTTTGATTCTGCTCAAGGGCATATGCTTGGGTTGTGGGCCCGATCCCCAGTAGAGGGTGTGCAGGAGGCAGCCAATCAATGATTCTCTCTCATCATTGATGTTTCTATCTCTCACTCCCTCTCCCTTCCTCTCTGAAATCAATAAAAATATATTTTTTGCCGAAACCAGTTTGGCTCAGTGGATTGAGCCCTTGAGCGGAATCAAACCAGGGACCTTTCAGTCTGCAGGCCGAAGCTATACCCACTGAGCCAAACTGACTTCGGCTCCATTGATTTTTAGAGTGGAAGGGAGGAAAGGGGAGAGACAGAGAGAGAGGAAGAGAAATACCGATATGAGAGGGTTGGTTGCCTTTCTTGCACCCCAACCAGGTTCATGCCCTTGACTGGGAATCTAACCTCAGACCCTTGGGTGGGTGGGCCAATGCTCTAACCACTGGGTGTGGCCAAGTTGTGGACAGTATATCTTTATTATTATTATTTTATATATATATTTTATTGATTTTGTACAGAGAGGAAGGGAGAGAGATAAAGAGTTAGAAACATCAATGAGAGAGAGTCATCGATCAGCTGCCTCCTGCACACCCCCTACTGGGGATATGCCCGCAACCAAGGTACATGCCCCTGACCGGAATCGAACCCAGGGCCTTTTAGTCCCCAAGCCGACGCTCTATCCATTGAGCCAAACCGGTCTTGGCTGGACAGTATATTTTTAGACATCTATCTCCACCTCTAGATTTTTCTTTTTCTTTTCCACCTCTAGATTTTAAAAAATATATACTTTATTGATTTTTTTACAGAGAGGAAGAGAGAGGGATAGAGAAACATCGATCAGCTGCATCCTGCATACTCCCCACTGGGAATGTGCCTGCAACCAAGGTACATCGAACCTGGGATCCTTGAGTCCGCAGGCTGACGCTCTATCCACTGATCCAAAGCAGTTAGAGCACCTTTAGAT